ACGACGACCATTCTGTGGGACTATAGGCTTATGCTAAATCCTCTGTACCTAAGACCTTCACTTATTCCTCGAAAGCCGTTTTTTTCCTCGCGCCCGTCGTAGGTTATAAGGCTTTCCTATCTCGTCCCTCGTATTTTTTTTTCATTTAGCTAATCGATTTGAAACCCAGAATAATACTAATAAAAAAAAAACAAATTGATACGATATAAAAAAAAAAAATAATAATAACAGTAATATATACATCCGCTAATTATTAAGTCACTGCCATTTTAATGGGTATTGGTTTAATTGAAATCGGAGACATTAAAAAAAAAAAAAAAACCTAACACACATATCGGTCGTCGGCGGTGTATAATAGAGCGTATTCGCGCGCGCGGTGTATTTGTCGGCTAATGATATTATAATAAAAATTCAAAAGGGTACGTTTTTGCTTAATGTGCTGCTGGGGTGTTAAACAAAACGACGCGTCACCATTAATTCGTTATTAACGGTCGGGTACCCTAATGAACAGGGGTAGGTATATATTATGTACGCGCGGTGGCAATATGAGATATTATTATTGTTATTAATATTATACGGTTTTGCATATAATAATAATAATAATAGAACGCGAGCGTGCTAGGCAAGAACCAAGACTCAACGGCGGTGATGGTATGGAGACGACACGATGATTGATAGTGTCCGGCTTGCGCTGAATTCAACTTTTAAAAGTTATGTATACGACGCAAATAGCAGCAAACGTCGTCTCATCGAATTGTCTATATAATAATAACAGTAATAATAATAAAATAATAAAATAGCACCAAAAATATAATACGCAATAATATTATGTGTTTCATTAAACGTGTAAATTAGTGCGGTGCAGCTGAGTAAAGTACCAGGGGTGATTTCAAGAACTTACATATCAAAGCTACCACTGACTATACCACACGCGTACATAGTTGGAATTCTCCTTGAAAATGTACTTGGAATCAAAATCAATTTTCTTTGGATTCGTTCCCGATGATGTGAAGATAAAGAATAAAAAAATGTTTTAGCTGTGAAGTTCGAAAATATATTTAAATATCTTATAGACGCATCCGATTTGGATCCGAAAATAATATTAGTTTTAAATTTTGAACGAACTGGATCCGGGTGAATAACATATTTCGTCAGAATTGAGTCCAAGCGTATAAAATTATGTGTTCGAATTGGGTCCGTCTATTATTATTTATTGTATCGAAGCTGAAAACTCTTTTACAAACGATTTGGTAAGTATTCAACTAGATGACGAATGATTACAAAAGTTCCCTCCAAAATTATGGTCTTAATTTAAGCGTAGTACAATAAGAACTACAAACGCATGTGAATCCTTTCATTCATATTTCAATTCTATGTTCTATTCAATCAAATATATTGCAATTTATACACGTTTTAAAAAATATTCAAATCGACGTTTGTGTTGAAATGAGAAATCCAGAGGGAAGAAAAAGAAAGATTTTGAAAACGAAAAAATAACAAAAAAAAAAATATCAGGGAAAATTAATTATTACGACTTTGTTGAGTCTGTATCTAATAAATTTCAACCGAATCATAAACTTATTATTAACAGCCAGAAGTCTAATGATTGCAAATGTAATGTAACCAGATGTTCAGATACAGACAGTCCTAGGTGTGTAAAAATGGGAAGGAAAATGTTTTTCTTTTCCAAGACCAAATTGGTGCAGTACGATTTTTAACACGGCGCCCAACTAGCAACATAACCATTGTTTATAGTACGGAACCCATCCGGTACAATATGATTTTTTGCAATCAATTTGTATACAATTTGAATCCGCCTTTAAGAAAATTACAACTCGAAATAAAAAATAATATGCATTGACGTTATGCAATCGTACAAAAAAAAATTATAATTATATATTTTTTATTTTATGTTGATCCTCAAAAATATGCTACCCCATCAAATATCATAAAATTTTCCACCCCGGGGAAATTGCTTGTCGTTAAACGCGGCTCTGCATATGACGTATATAGACGCATATGGACACACGTAGAAACATAATTATGTATTGGACCTACGTAGTAACATAACAATGTCCTACATAATTTTCGCCTCGGTACCTGAGCACAGCACACGTACAGTACCTACTATCGCGTACGTGCACGTTGTATGGACAACACTGACGCCGTGCTAGACACTGTTATGGGGTCTACGAATTTTTTCAAATAAAAATTAGTTTAATTTTTCGGTCACAATTATTACGTTGTTGTTTGACCGAGGAAAGTGTACACATCATGATTTTGTTTTAAATGGTTTCAGTCTATTAAGAATATGTTATCAAAATATGACCTGTGTTCCGTCAAAGTGTATTTAATTGTAAAGTGTTACAAAACAGTGTTTTTAAAATATTTTGAAAACTAATCGGTTTCAAACTTTGAAAGCTCTAAACACGAATAAGTTGTTTACATAAATATTTTACATAGACTTGTCTATTGGTTTGGTTTTTATTATTATCTCAAAGGAAGATATACTATAAGACGTGATTATCATAATAGTAGATCAGTAGCTAGGTAACTCGAACTAGGGATTGAACTTCTATTCATAGTATTATTTATGGACATATAGATAACTTCATTTCAAAAGTTGTTCGGTTTATATTATTAGAACAGTGATAACATTGTATATAATTTACCACGCCAGTAAGGTCACGAATAAAATTTATTTATGTCTCGTTTTACACAATAACGAATAACCACTAAAAATATATAGAAATATATTTGAGCAAGTATAACACATGAATTATGTATAGAATTATATAAATAAATATTGTGTGCATTGGGTTGTATAAATGGAGTGTAAAGAAGTGTAAAATTTCTATTCAAAATTAATAATATATTCGTAAAATATAAAATTGACATTTGAGTTACGATTTGAGATCGATTGTACCGATCCTCAGAAATTTATAATAATTTACTGAGAATAAATACTAACCAACCTTTCAATTCAGATAATATGTGTGTTTTTCGAAAAAGCAAACGTCATACTTAATTGAAACGGAAATATTCTCTCTCCAGAATATAATTTGATTGACCGCCAAAAACGATATTTTCGTACGACTTACTTTTTTTTTTTTTATCAAATTTGAATATAACCGTTGTTGAGTTATTTTAGTTTTATCGTTCTATAATGTAGCAATTACCTTTATTACAAATATAATTTGTTAATCTGTCCATTTATTTGGGAAAACGACTTCAATGTTGACAGTAACGATTGCAATCATGGGTGTATCGAGGGTGGGGCAGGGGTGGCACTTGCCCACCCCTGCGCCTCAAACTGCATTATATTTGTTTATACCAAACGTGTAAGTTTTACATTAAAATCAAAAATTAAATAAGATATAATTCTAAAAATAGTTTAGTGGGACCGAGTAATATCTACACGTGTAATCATTTTGACGTTTTATGTGTTATTCAATGGTCTATCTGTAGATTATTTGAATTACGAGTTTAACACTAATCATTTTATGTTTTTGCCCCTCCCTGATTCAAATTTTAGCTACGCCCATGATTGCAATAATAGTGAGTTTCAATCTATGTTTAGCGGACTCAAAGTATTAAATGCATGAGTGTTTGAATGTTTTATACATTTAATGTAATAATACATTACATGCTCTTAATAGGCATTTAATAAATAAATGATTTTATTTTAAAATTATATGGATTTTATAGAGCATCGTATATGACTCGACCAACAATAAATTGCTTTCCTATTTTTTTCCAAGAGCAATAACGTTATATAAATATGGAAATTAGAAAAATATTGTTATAACATAATAAAATGGTACACTCATGAGATTGATCATTTTAAAAATAACATATATGTATATATTTTTTTTTTTTTGTTACAATACAACGATAAAATAAATTGTTTTATTTCAATAAAATAAATATTGCGTATTGTATAGGTTAGGTGTATGTGTTGGCGAAAAACTCATTTTTTAGGAGTAAAAATAAAATATTACCTTATTTCGTTTGAATGTGATCATATCTACAGTTATTTTATATATATATATATATATACACGCAAAAACAATATTGAAGTACAATATTTTTATTATACTATATAGTATTGGATTTCCGTTGAAAATCGTAATGTCGTTGTCGTAACAAAAACCCAAAGCCTGTCCTGTGTCCCGTTTTCATTGTATGCGTATAAAATCTATAAGTATGTACACGGTGAAATGTATACAAATATAAATAAATATTTATGTACAAAGTGAAATAGATGTCGCGTTCTGAACTCGAATTGTAGTGTTTTTATCGTTATTTCCGTATTTGTTTCGTGCGCGCCAACTACTTTGAATCGTATTACGTACACGCTAAGTTTTCAATACACATCTCTTATTCGTATGTATTACACGAATACGCGTGCACGCGCATAGAAAAATATTCAATAATATACAACTGTTTGCATAACAATTGAAATCCAAATCGTGTGCACACAATACGGGACGGTAATATAGGAATACAGGAATAATGTCGTGTAAGGATTTCAATACAATATAAATGTATGCACGCCTTTATAGCAATACCAATATACAACGTTGAGTGTAAGAATGCTGTCCATTGCAACGTCAAAATATCTACATAAGGTATAAATATATATTATATTATATATCAATAATAATAATAATGGTATAATAATTTCCATTTCAAAAAAAAAAAAAATTATGCATGTATTTTACCAACACTCTCATTACAATAAAATGTCAAAAAAAAAATAATAAAATAATATTTTAAATTTATCTAACTACATGAATATATAGTACAATTAATTATTTAGTAGTATTTTTAATTTTATTTTTTTACACATTACACTTTAAGTTATACGGGGTGTACAGGATATATTAAATTTCTATGATTAAAGAAAAATAATAAACGTATTTATAATATCACTATTATATGATCCCCCCCCTTTTAAAATAATATTAGAAATACAAATTTTAATACATGGTCAGAAAAGAAAAACAACAAATCTTTACATCGAAGTATTTAAAATTAGCAATAAAACATTATTTTTAGCGTAAACGGTTTTGATGTCTGAACGTAGTACATTATGAATAGTATAGTCGTACATTTAAATCGATTAACAATTTTAATATTTGAACATATTGTCACGTTCGAAAAATAACAATACTCAATCAAAGTACAATTTTAGGATTTTAAAATTAAGATTTTATCACTAAAACTTAAAGTAACAGCAGCGTATCGTTTTAATGGCAATGGAACTAATGTAATGAATTTCGTGTTATAGAAATCGAAGTTTATCAAGTGTACCAAAAAGTTGTCACAATTCGTTAGAACTTTTATTCGTGAGAAATATGAAAAAAAAAAAGAAAATCAATAATTAGGTTGATAAGACAACGTAGTATATATACATAATATGTACGCTAATTGATTTTGTGGGTAATAAAAATAATGGATGAAATGTCATCGACTCAAAATCGTGTATATTATGAATATTAAACACATCCCGTACGCGCGAGTATTTACAGAATTAAAACGAAAACAATACGATTTACAGTTATAATAATAATAATGATAATAATAATATACATAGTATTGGACTAGACAAATGATTCCGTTATTGCCATTATAATATTCATAAAAAATATTATGTTCGAAATAAAATGTGTCGTATGTACATTGATTACAGTTTATTTATAATGCGTATTATTATTAAGTGTTCGTGTAAGATGACACGTAAACCATACGTAATACGCGCATTATTTGTATTGTAAATCATAACATGTATGTATAACAATAATAATGCTCGATGGAGAAGACGTACGCCAACTGCACACGGGGCGTGTAAATAAGTCGAGAAACGGGCGTAGGAAACTATGTGTGGGCGAGACGAACTTGGAAATGAGGTTTGTTTTATATTTTGTACGAAAACATCGCAAAGGACGTCGCAGTGATCGGGTGACAAACGGAACGGAGAGAGAGAATTTAGAGAATATGAATCGAGTTATCCACGAGCGACCCCAGAAAACCACGAAAAAAAAAAAGAAAATCGAACGCATTAGCCGAAGCTAATACACGTGCGATCGTCGATACAATAACGTTTCGTTTTCAGGACACGGCCAATGGAAACGAATCCGTTTCTATGGATAGGTATTGAAGAAAATTTACGAAAGCATTTCGGTGCTGTACCGATTCGTTCTTTTCGTTCGTCCGGGGGGCGCGACGGATAATGTATTGTTGCGACAGTTGCGTAGTATTTACATATTTATAAATCATACATATATTATTTACAAGACTATACCGCACACAATACTCTTATCAGACAATTTGTACACGTGTGATAGTTATTAATGCATTTATATTTAAGTATAATATAGATACGTACAAACGACGAGCTTAGAGCATGGCCGCGGCGGCGTGCATTTGCGTCAGCTCGACGTGCTGTTTGACGGACCGTCCACCGCCGCCGCCGCCGTCCACCTGCTGCTGCTGCTGCTGCTGCTGGTGGTGTTGCTGTTGCGGGAGTTGGTGATGTTGATGGTGATGGTGATGGAGGAGATGATGATGTTCTTGACCGCGATGATCGACCCGGTCGTCGTCGTTGTCCACGTCGTCGTCGTCGTCCACGTCGTCGTCTTCGTCCACGTCGTCGTCATCGTCTTCGTCGTCGTCGTCTTCGTCACCGCCGTCTACGTTTTCGCGCCCGCCACCCGCACCGCCGACGCTTCTGCCGCCACCACCATCGTCCATTTCCTCTTTGAAGTCCAACAGGTCTTCAACCGTGTACCGGACGCTTCCTCCGGTCCGCTCTTCACGTCAGACGGGCGTCCGCGTGCCTTCGCTACCGGAGTTTCCGCCGCCGCCCTGCGCCCCACCACCACCGCCACCACCGCCACCACCGCCGCCGCCGCCACCGCCGCCACCGCCGCCGCCACCGCCACCACCGCCGCCGCCGTACTGTTGCTGGCACGACGACGACGAAGAAGACCGATTGCCGCCGTTGGCCTGCGCCTGCAACGAGCACGGCGAACCAGCCGGCTGGTAGCCGCCGAACCCGGAGGCGTGCTGTTTGGCCTTGAGCCGGAGGCTGGCAATGCTGCTGGACATGACGTTGCACGGCTCGGCGGGCCGGTGATGGTACACCGAGTACGGCGTGGTCGGCGGGCAGTACGGCGGCCCGTTCTGCGGCGCGGGCGTCGGTAACATCGACCCGGCCGCTGAGGTGGCCGCGTTGAAACAGTTCACCGGCGCCTGGTGATGATGGTGGTTCACCGATCCCAGCGGGTTCACCGACCATGGGAACGTTTTCGATCCCAGCGGGCTCGGGACCTGCGACAAAAGCGCGGGCGATATTACACTCGATATTACACGTTTCGATCCAACGGGTTTAACATTTATTGTGCGCGCGGAAAAAAAAAAAATCGATGAAAGCGTTCACAGTTTCAAGGGTGGTCGCAAAACAGGGCTTTGGGGTTGGAACATATTTTAAGGGTTGATTAAACGGCAGCGTGAACTCTTACTCGTATCTTCCTATTTGCGAAATCGCCTTTTTTAGTGGACAGGTACCGAGATTAGCCATATAACCTCGAGGCATGCGGAACAACGCATAACAAACGTCGATCGATTTAATCAATATGTAACTGGACATATATACATAACGTTAAGATCGTTCTCCGGGTCCGGGAAGGATTATTTTCGTTACGGATAAGATCGCGGACCCACCAGGATTTTTACACGATGCAATCGCTCCGTAGAATATACCCGTTCGCACCGTCACTGTTACGCTGGACCGCTTAACTGTTGGCGTATTACACCGACAATGTGCGCCGTTTAGAAAATTCGTCTTGTGTACACGGTAAGGTCGTAAAAGCACAACATAAAAATCGTAAAATCATGTTTCCGGTTGTGTTACGCTAAGATTACAGTTTGCGCATACCTAAATACAAGTTTTATAGAAAATAATCGCTCACCTTAGTCGCCCAATTATTGTACGACGTGTAAGCTGTACTGTACAGCGAATCGGTATCCGTAAACGGTTGCATGAGACCGTTGAATTGGGTTCCGAATCCGTTTTTGAAATCCACGGCTGCCGCCGCAGCGGCGTTCATTGCGTTTCTCTCGCGTTTCCGCCATTTGGCCCTCCGGTTTTTGAACCATACCTGCAGCGTAGAGAGACAGTTTATATCAATACTTGCTAGATAATAATTGCGATTGATTGCTATTTGATTTTACCCCCAGACGAATTATAAATATGAATTTATAATCAAATGAATTATTTCATTTTTACGCCGAAATAACTATTCTGTAACACAACTGATTGATAGATCGATAGACAATGCACTGTGACTGAATTATTTGAATCAAAGACTCAGTCTTGTTATAACACTTTCGATTGCAGTTGTAATTTAGTCTTAAGATATTATATTTATAAATGTTAGGAAATCCCTCTTCATTCTTAATTTATAAATAAAATTAATGCACAGGTATACAATTTTGAACAAATGTGTTTTGAAAATTATTTTCTAGTATAATTTAATAATTGTTTCTTCATATAAAAGTTTACATTAACTGGCTTATTGATAGAATACCGAGCTTAAGGTTAGAGCGACTTTTATAATTTTCGCCACTAAATTACACGTGAGAGTTTATCTAATGTTTTCACTTAACAAAAGTTGTTTGCTCTAAAAGTTTTAAATAACCAAAAACAAAACCGATTTAGGTGTATTTGATTCAACTAGTTGAAAGTTTCTTAAGTACAATTAAGAAGATATCTAGTAAGCAAACCATGATAGATGTAATAAAATCAATGATGCAGTGCGTGTTGTCTCAACTATTAGACAAACATTACACCAAATCCAAACTCAATTGCATATGGTAATAAATAACGTTTATCAGACTTTATGTACCATGCAATTGTGTACTTGCCAAGATCTCAAAGATAAAAGAGCTTTTAAAAAAATCAAGCGATGCATTTCTACTTCTATATCTATGCTGGCGATCAACCACTGGATGTATTTTACTGTCAACATAATCCAAATAAAGATAGAAAATAGAATAACCTCATCATATTCTGTGAACCGACCACCAATCAGTAGTGCAAGAATACTCTATTATTATTATACTCTACTATTCTCTGGCCTTTCATAAGATCAATTATTGACGAATGTTTTCAAACCTAATACTAAAAAATGTATCACCCGAGTTGTTAATATTCGAGTTAATTACGTAGATATTTTCTATCACAAGCATTTCAAATCCCCCATTAGTGAAATTAAATTTAAATTTTGATAACAATGATGTGATTATTGACGTACGTAGTGTACACATACAGCTACATATTCAGAATAATTTTCAAACGTGAAGCGTCGAAAAAATTAATCATACCATGCAGAAAGTGTAGAATCATATCCCGGGATATGACAATGGCCATTGTGTCACTGCATTAGTGTTAATATTTTCAACGTTACTGTTATAACATAACGACCATTACGATGCAAAAGGTTGTAAAAACAGTGTGACACGTGCATGCGGATTTGAATTTTTCATTTTACTATACGAAGCAATAGGTTTTAGTGTTAACGTTTATAGGTATATCGCTTCTTGTTGTGAGGGGGGAAAAACAACGACATTTTTAAAAAATCGATTATAAAAACATTTTTTTTTACCATTATATCATTACACGAGAAGATACTCTCCGTAAAGTTATTGTCCTTGCTCGTTAATAAACCCTGAACGTATATAAATACAGAACTATACACAGAGGCCTCCGTAAAAATCTTTAAACGTGCCCTTGCCGGGTGTACGGGGGTGCGGTTGCCCGGTAGATCCGTCGCTTCCGCCTCCGGCCATAATGCAGCAGCGTCGACGACGGAATGTCATTAATCTTGAGCCTGATGGGCCGGCCATAACGTGGATTCCGCTGATGCCACTGCGGAAGGAGCAGCTATATGTACCACAGCCGCAGCCGCCGACGGTAAATAACGAGCCCCCAACCGGCACCAGGCGTTGTCAGCATCAATCAGAAAGCTCGTTAATCTTTATTACCTCTTCGCTACCGCATCCCCGTCCCGACGGATCCGTGGTGGGGAGAGGGCAGACCCACGGACGATGAGGGGGTACATGCGCGCGCGCGTACAAGGGAGACCCGCAGAAATTCGACGGCGATGATACGTGCGCTCATGTAACCTTATATGAGATACAAATGCATAATGTAATGCGCTCGGGGGCAGGACCTTTAATTGTGTGCAGTGCGACACGCATTGTGTAGCACGAAAAGTAACACGTGTACACCGAATTTTTGAAACGTGTAAAAAATTCTATTTGTTGGAATCATGGAAACAATAACTTTCACACAAACAAAATATTCATACCGTAGAATGGGTAAAATACCGTAGAATACAGAAAAAATGATTGTATTTCTACGAAAGATTTAAATCAATTTTCAGAAGGTATAAGCACATTAGTTTCAGATCAAATTTTAGACTTACAAATGTTTATTTAAAATTTAGTGTGTAACACAAGGAATTGCAAATTTCAAACCGCGTATGGAGGTATGCCGAAAACGTTGTTTTCTAGGAGGAGCATTCGAACAAACGGGAATAATACGTTTTGAATTTGAATTTCTCAAATCATTACCTCATTATCCTTGTATGTTATATATATGCAGTATACGTTTCAATATTTAGATATATTTTTTTACAGAGATAAAAATTAATTAGTTAATCATATAACAAGATCTTTAAACAACAACAAAAAAAAATTGCCAAGATGGCTAGGCAACTATTAAATATTATGGGGACATACGAAGAACATGATATAGATAAGCGGTTATCAATATTTTTGAAGCTGCGACACCCTATAAAGTCACCAAGATTTTAAGCGACCCTTTTATCGTGATTTCATTAAAAGATAATAATAAATAAATATGAATAATATTACTAATATAACGTCTTTATTGACAGCTAAACTTAAATAAATTGTAATTCTCAATAATGATTATCATGAAGGTGTTTATAAGAACATCTTACTAGTTGCTTTGTATACTGATGATCCTAATTAGATTATTAGTTACCCCTAAAAGGGTCGTGACCTCCAGTTGGAGAATCACTGATGTAGATGATTATTTAAATAGAATAGCTCACAATTCTTGCCTGTAAAATGTATTCGCGGTGTTTGGTAGAAACATTATAAGACGGCAAAATGGTCCAAAAAAAAAAAAATGTATACCGTAATTATACTAACCAATACTATGGAGTGTATCGAACGAGGAAGTGACTGGGAACTTCTAACCACTATAATAGGATAAGGTTTGGGTTTTATAACTAACCCACCATACAAGATTATGTCCTATTAATGATAAAACAATATTACGTTGTAAAATTTAACATTACAAAATGTGTAGAATACGTGTAAAAATTCCATCTTCTTAACTGCTAATAACCAGTTACTGTTTACCCGATATTATCGAGGAATAAATATTATATGAAAATATCTGTACGATGTAAATAGAAACCTTCATAACAATTGTTATTATTATCGTTAACGATATTAGAAATTATGTGTTTGCGTGATTATAACACTGCGATTGATTCTTTGGGTTTGATTGTGGTTAGTTCTTGATCATGGTAAAAAAGACGTACTTATAGTAAGAAAGTAATAGTTACGAATGTAATAAAGTAATATTGGATTTCGACGCGAATAAAACGCGTACGAATACTTTTTGTATCGTTAGCAGCGCATAAAATCACACAGTAAATATACACGGTATTATTGTGTATGTAAATATTCCCTCCTGTCGATATGCTAGCAATTTTTCATTACGCACCGGATTACACGAGTCAATAGCATACGACGAGGAATAATAATATCAAACGGTATTTATTATAATGTATAACGTATGCGGTGGGTAATGCGTTAATTTAAACGGATTTAACGTATTAACGATCGTGTGTATTATGTACGAATGTGTGCGCGTATATTTATAAATTATAAATATATATATATATATATATATATATATATATAAATAACAATGTAATGTGCGCGTGTACGTATAAATGCCGGCACGTGCACGGGGATAGGGTATACGGGCGCTGGATGTGCATATGTATAGGAAATAAAATTTCGGAAAAACGGTTAGCGACGGGGTGGGTACATTGCACGCGTTCGGGTTAGTCGGCCGGACGGGGGTGAAGGCGAGGCGTTTTAAAATCTCGTCAGGTCATAAATTGATTCTTTTGAAGCTGCTGCGCGAGGAGGGACCATCCCCCATCGATCCCGAGTCGTATACACGTACGTAGATGTGCGTGCGTACGAATGCGTATATACATGTGCTTAAACACACGAATACATTATTGTTACACACGTGTGCACGTAAATATATATATGTACGTACGTACGTAGACGGGTAAGCCAGTGCCGGCGAGTGCTGATCGATTAACAACGGCCTGGTAATCCGACGGCGCGCGCGGGCTTCGTGTTTTCCGCACATCACCACCGCCGGGTTTCGCTCCGGGCGGCTATCACGCGCATGCGAGCGAGCAGATCGGGGCCTCGCGGCCGGGCTCGGGCGGAAAAAGCTTTTTCCGTCGTGCTGTAATTATTGTTTTCAAACCGACACGCGAATAAGGTACGTCGTCGTTACGTGCGTATACGTGCGGCAGGACAACGAGAAACACCGTTCAAACTGCTCACCGCGGTCTACGCGTACAAAAAGGCCCGACGAGAAGGGGGAGGGGGTGAAAGGGATGATCCCCCCCGGGTCCGGAATTTCCGAGAGGTCCCGGAAATCGGGGACTACAAATTATTAAACGCAGTTAATGATAAGAATTTAATGAACACTGCAGAAAAATTTAGATATACCTTAAGATATACCCCCCGGGCCTGGGTTTCTCTCGCCACGGTCTATGCGTATACACGTCACGCGCCCCATGTCTAAAACCTTTCTGTAATCCGCTCCTTACCTTCGCGCTCCGAGCAACGTTATTGTCTTTTTGAACGTTAAAGTGTACGTCGGCAATCGGAACTGTCGAGAAAATTGCAACAGCAAAAAAAAAAAAAAGCATATGTACGTGATTAAGTATGCGTAGGTGTGCGGTTAGAAATGCAATCGGGGTCGCGCATACCTCCCTCTGTATATGAGATCTTATTCGTTTTGTGA